ATAGATAGATAGATAGATAGATAGATAGATAGATAGATAGATAGATAGATAGATAGATAGATAGATAGTTTCAAAAATACTTTTAAGACTATTTTTGTCTAAAAAAAAAACACACTGCAATTTTTGGATATTAATATAGATACAATCTAATCTTTTAAATATACCACTTTGTGTGAAACAACACATTTCTGTTTGTTAGAAAATTGTATATGTTATCATTTTATTTCAAGTTACAGGTATCTGCTCCAGGAATGTTAAGTGTCGCTCTAAATGAGGAGAGCAAATATTTCTCTCAGGGCCTGGTATTATTCAGCTATGTAGCCGTAGGTGACTGATAACATCAGACCCCCCCTGGTAGCGTTTGACCACTCCTGTATTTCCTTTGAAGTTCAATAATAAAAGCAGTAGAAAAGAGAGGTTTGGACAGAGTTGAGTACAGAATTGTCAAGGGGTCTCACCCTTGGTCTGTCCTCTCTCTCACTTTTCTGCAGAAAAGAAACGAATACTTGCTCTGTTTGGTTTTTATTTCTAGGACAATAGGTGGTTATGATTATTAACCCCATCAATGTGATTCATATAAATAGAATGAATAGTGTAGTCAAAAAAATTGTTTGCAATAATGCATTGAATAGAAAACTACAAGCAGGTCACATCAGATGTATTTTTTCTGAAAAACAGCTTTTCTGTTTGGACTGAATCTACTCTTTAGGATAGAATTAGATTGGATTATATTCATTTTGCTATGAACATTAAACCACTACAAAGTGGGTTTATTTTTTATCATAACTGTGGCTGGAGGTCTGGGTTAAAATCTTGTCCTTAGCAGGTCTGTTGCTTTTGTGTTCCTATATTGTAAAGAAACATACCATTTATATTGAAAAGCAAGAGCCAGTATGGCGTTCTGAAGTCAGGTGGAGATATAGAAGATCAGCATCAGACCATAAGGTCCCAAAGAACTGAATGAATTAAAAAAAAACTTTCCCTGCAGAAACGTTCAAAAAGAAGTTGGCCCTGGAACCTGAACCTACATGGGGAAAGGATCAGGGCTAGGGAAACAAAGAAGTCCAGAGATAGTTGGAGGGCTAAACAACCATTTCTCAACATAGGAAAGCAGAGAAAGCTGTGACTCAGTTTGTTAATTTCCAAATCTGATGCAAAACATGTTCCCACTTAATAGGCAGGAAAGCCTGGAGCTGTGTTGAATAATGCTTGGGATCACATTGGGGCCATTGCAGAATTCAGATTACACTTTGTTAGAGCATTTATTTACAGACAGGTCTTTGTATCATACTCGTATTTTTTTCTTCTGGAATAAACTTATCATGAAATGTTTATTGTTGTTGCAAGAGACTGAGAGTGTACAGAATTCAATGTACAACCATTCACAATTCTTGGTAAATTACTCTTTATTTTACATTTGAAAAAAAAATTAAAAACACATTAAAGCAAACAGTATTGCATTAATCCCAATTCCACCCTCAGATTTAAATACACATGCAGGATAGTGGTCTGAACTGCTGGATACCCTGTGGGATGAAAAATAAAACCCAAAGTTTGTGACTGAGTGACAAAAGTCTTACTTTCATAAAGGGGAAAGTAAAGAACAGGTGAAATGTATGTGTAGCCCTATATATTCTTATTTCAGAAAACTTTAAAGCAATACTTTCACAGATGACTGAATGTTTGACAGCCTGCACATGTTTAAGTAAATTACAATACAAAGTGCATTTTCAAAGACCACGATTTATTTGTTAAGAAGAACAAAAGTATTTGGTTTTTTTGATGGTCTGGTCAGATAAAATAAATAGTCTGTGACAAACAAAGGACCTTTAGGTTAACAATAGATGAGTCAGCTGCTTCATCTATCTAAATCATTGTCCTCTTCATTCTAGGGGAAGTGGCACTTTGAGCGATCCAGACCACAAGCAGTCCTTTATAGATCGTCCCTCCGGCTTACATAAAAAGTCTGTGTATTTAATTTATCTCAGTGGCATTTATTGCCTATTATCTGTTATCCATGCTCTCATCTCCTCTCCAATCCCCAGAGGATATTTGATCGCTTTGCTCCTGAATTAGTTCTCTATCCTTCCTGTATTTGTCAGGACACTCTTTGCTGCTCACAAAAGCAATTCTTCCTTTTCTGGTTAGTGAACAGTGGTGAGACCTGGGTCGAGACGAGGTTCTGTTTTCCTTTTTCCTCCAGGACTTCTTCTCCTACGCAGTCCTGCTCTTGTTCTTCAAAACATAGACGATGGGCCAGTGGGATTTCAGTCTGCCTGAGGGCTTTCAGTGCACATGTCCCTACATGAGGACAATTTGAGATGACGACTGACAGGGGAGGTTGAGAGATTGCTACCAGGCCGCCCCCTACAGGAGAGATATGAGCAGGATGCTTACTGGAATTTTTTACAGCTGCTGCTTCTGATGGGCACTGTGAAGAGGCTAAATTTGAACTTGTTTGCTTTGAGTCTGATTGAGTCCATGTAAGTGTTGTGTATGTAGAGTTTCGATCACTGCCGCTACTCTCTAACACCTGATGTCGGCCCAGGATGTGGCGCCAGATAATCCGACGGAAAGTCTTTCTGAACTCCCGTATACGGTAGGCGTAAATGAAGGGGTTGATCACTGAGTTGGCATGAGAGAGGATGATGGCAAAGTACATAATCCAAGCAGGAGGAGGGCGGCACTCAGGGCAGAACAGGGTGAAGCAGTTAATGATGTGCAGAGGTAGCCAGCAGACTGCAAACAGCCCAACAATGATGGCCAAAGACTTAGCAGCCTGAACCTCCTTCTGCAGTGTGGAGCGTGACTTTTCTCCATGAAATGCTTTCACCTTTATCAACTTCAGTTGGTGGCGAGCTGCCATAAAGATGCACAGGTAGATGGCAAGCATCAACAAGAGTGGGATTAGAACAAAGGCAAAGAAGTTGAAGTAAACCATATACTCCATTGTCACCACATCCATAAACAAACACTCCATCAGGCCGGGCTGGCAGCTGCTGTTAGTGCTTTTGGTGCTGTTGGACACTTCATGCCAGCCCATCATTGGGGTCAGACCAATGATGATTGAGAGAGCCCAGCAAATGGCTATGATGCCTTGAGCCCGCTGGCTTGTCACCAAACTGTTGTACCTGGACAAGGAAAAGGAAATGCAAAGATTAAGCATAAATTAGCAGACTGGGTTAAACTAGATCCCATAGCATTTTGTGAAACCCGTTCTCAAAAGTTTCTGCTTGTTTTAATCTGTTATCTTGACATCAATCTAACTGATCCCTGATATGTCCTACAGATTTTTAGGGCATTTCTCTTAGTTTTCTCTCATGTGATCTCAGGGTATTGCTGCTAAATGCACTAACGACTCAGCAGGTGCATGTATGTATCAGCTGATAAAATAGAATAAAAAAAAACACACCAATACTCAAAAGTATCGGCCTGCCATTTATCACTCTTTCTCTAATTTAAACCTAAGCTGTTCAAAAGCTTTAAACTATAACCTTAAAATCCAACATTTGCTTTACTTAGACTCTAAAGCAAGTAAATGTCTGATTATTGAAAACAAGTTAGTGATTTGTTTAAGTGTTTAAGTGAAGCACAAATGTATCATATGGAGAGAAAGAGTTTTAAAAAACAACCAAAAAAGCATTTAACAAGGGAGCATCTTCTACACAACAACTATGCTGCTCTGGACTTTGAATTGAGCACAAAATGGGACGTTAAAAATAAGAAGACTTTTTTTTTTGCTTTACCGAAGAGAACATGAATCTGGACAGTCTTGTTACAGTAGCTACCAACATTAGTGGCATAACAAGAAGATCCCAATAGAAAATGTTCTACAAAGAGTGCTGTCCTCTGTGTTGTGTTCAGCTGGTTTTTAAACAGGACAAAAACAATGGAAAAAACCCACTGCTTCTTGACAAATGTGTCCCTTGGTTAAGCATGGTCCCTAAATCTCACTGAAGGTTTGAGAAGATGCATGGCAAGGGGGTATTTCAAACTACGGAAGCCATTAATGAGGCCAGTGACACTTGGAGCTACTTCCCCAGAAGCCTTAAAGTGTTTTGCAATGCATTATAGACAGGTATTGCATCTAGCAGTTATAAAACAAAGTTTTGAAACAAGAATGAAGTAGGTACTTACTAGCCAACTGAATCAACTGAAGCTTTTTTTTTTCTTTTTCTTTTATGGCTATGCTCTTTTACGCAGGTAATGGACATCCTGTTTGATTCAAACTAGGACTAAAACAGTTCACAATGCTTTTGAAATAATGTTAAAAATAACTGAAAGAATGGTGTGATCTACTTGATTTAAGAATTACCCAGTTGGTAATACAAGTGCACACAATTTAAGACAGTCTCTGTGGCAAAAGTAATGAACATCCAACATGACTGCTGTGAAAATCTGCAGGTTAAAAGTATTCATCATAACTTTACACATCTGTGTCATCGTAATCTAGTGCTACACAGTACAATCAACTTCAATTTTTATTTTTTAGTTACATTTTTCTAGAATTGCACTCCTTAAAGTGGCTTCATATTAAAGTAGCACTGCTGGCTTGACTCTGATATTCTTTTTTAAGAGAACTTTTTTGATCAGCTTCTTTTTCTTCTTTTTTTTGCCTTTCATGTTGAATGCCGTGAAAATGGAAGGATTTATACTGATATTTTTTTTTACTTTTTGGATGCTGGTTATGATGTATGGCCACAGCAACCATAGTAAGTTGAATTTTAAAACCTGGTAACAGTTAATCAAGAAAACTTAAGCTGAAATAATACTTCAACTACTTCTGCATACTGGCTCAGGCAAAAATTAGGTGCTGGGCATGCAGAGCAGGAGCAAGGAGAAGAGAGAGGAGAGAGAATTTTTAGCCACCTCATCCATATGGGCAATGTGAGATCCTTAGGAAACACGTGAAAGAACTCAAGGAAAGACCAAGCAACACTATCAGCAATGCTACATTCCCTGTTTTACTGAAACATGGCATCAGGATCATATTTTAGACTCCAGCGTCTCTCAGCCAGGGTTTTCTGACCAAACAGGCAGTCAGACATGGTACCAAATGATTTTGTGGCAATAGCTGATTATTTAAATGATGCCTCAATGTCTAATGCACTGCCAAATTTCAAACAGTTTGTCAGTTGCTGTACCAGAGAAAACTAAACTTTCGACATGTTAAATATAGATGTTGAGGACTCCTACATCTCTGTTGTAAGACCTCCTCTTGGGAAACTGGATTAGAATCTTGTTTTTCCCTTCTCTAAGTATAAGCCACTTTTATAAGAGGCAACCTGCATTAAACAAAGATGGTGACAGGAAGCTGTAGAAGCCCTGCAAGTTTGTTCTGAGGCTACAGACTAGGATGCATTTTGTCAGCCACATGGAGAGGACAGCAATGCAATGAGTGAGTGACTGACTAAATGAACTTCTGTGTAGATAACAACATCCACAGAAGAACAGTGAAATGCTTCCCAAATAATAAACCATGAATCAAGGAAGGAAATGATAAACAAAAAAACCCTTTAAGAAGGGAGACAGTGAATTAATGAGGAGTATACAGAAGCAACTTAGGTTAGATTAAGAAAAAGTACGGGTGCATACAGGAAGAATCTGAAAAGGAAGCTCTAGCAGAATGAAGATCACAAGCTGAAAGATGCCATTACACACTTGCAATACAAATCCACTGTCATTTAGACAAGGCAGATAGCACTGTGAAGATCTTGTTCTTTGTTTTCTCCAGTGCATTTAACACAATTCAGTGAGACTTATTTTGTCAGAAACTCCAGAAGACTCAGGTGGAGGTGTTACTAAATGCCTGGATCAAGGACAACCTGACAAACAGAACACAGCTTGTCTGACTGAAAGTGAAGGGTCACCTGTCTAATCATTTTGTCAGCAGCACAGGAGCCCCACAGGAAACGGAACCCTATCAGTTTCTTTTTAATATGTACAACTTTGACTTCCAGTATAAGACAAACTTCTGTCATCTGAAGAAATACTCTGATGACTTTGCAGTTATTTGGTGCGAAGATACAAATGTGCAAAGATGGACAAGAAGCTGAGTACAGGGAACTACTGAACCACTTTGTGACACGGTGTGGAAAGTTTCATATACATATATATATATATATATATATATATATATATATATATATATATATATATA